GTTGGCAATGAAATTCATATTACTGCTACAAGCTTGGCTTAGTTGGACAATGCAGCCTGACAACATGTGAAATTCATATTACTGCTACAAGCTTCCAGGCTTAGTTGGACAATACAACCTGACAACATGTGAAATTCATATTACTGCTACAAGCTTGGCTTAGTTCAACAATACAACATGACAACATGTGAAATTCATATTACTGCTACAAGCTTGGCTTAGTTTGACAATACAGCCTGGCAACATGTGAAATTCATATTACTGCTACAAGCTTCCAGGCTTAGTTGGACAATACAACCTGAAAACATGTGAAATTCATATTACTGCTACAAGCTTGGCTTAGTTGGACAATACAGACTGACAACATGTGAAATTCATATTACTGCTACAAGCTTGGCTTACTTGGACAATACAACCTGAAAACATGTGAAATTCACTGGTAAATATGAATCATTATATTCACTGGAGATCCAAACACTAACAAGGGGGTAGCCACATTTTCAGTCAAAAGGAAGAAATTCTTAGGCCCATAAAACCCTAAATTGGACCCAAAATTTGAAAATTGAAGGTCCTACTTCAAAAATAGGGCCAAAAGGCCAAGTAATACCCAAAAAGGCCCACTAATTGATAGACAGTAGACATTTTTACGGCAGTGGATAACATAAACAATGAATAACATTAGATAACTTAGACTTTTAACAATATTGGATAACACTGACTTGTGGAATACCAGTGGATAACTGAGACAATGTAACACTGTTAGATAATAAATATAACAAGAACACAAATGTGTACAAAATGTCCCCACCAAGTGGTGATCCCGTGAAATGGTTATCCTGAAAATGAGTAGACAAGACTTTACCAACACAATTTGAGGATGGAAAATCCAAAGTGGCCACCTTAAAATTTACCCAGAATGCCAAAAATTTAGACAGTTCTAGATTCTCATACTAAGATCCACCCCTGAAAATTTGAAATTGATCCGTCACACAGTTAACCGGAAAACATGTAAACAAGACTTAACAGACAAGATTTCAGGATGGAAAATCCAAAATGGCTGCCTTGACATTTACCCAGAATGTCAAAAAACTAATCTGTTTGTAGATTTTCTTACTGAGAATCATCCCTGAAAATATGAAATTGATCTACCAAACGGTTCACCTGAAAACGGGTAGACAAGACTTTACAGACAAGATTTTAGGACAGAAAATCCAAAATGGCTGCCTTAACATTTACGCAGAATGCAAAAAAACTAATCGGATGTAGATTTTCATACAAAGAATCATCCCTGAAAATTTGAAATTGATCTATCAAATCATTCACCTAAAAACGCGTAGACAAGACTTTACAGACAAGATTTTAAGACGGAAAATCCAAAATGGCTGCCTTGACATTTACCCAGAATACAAAAAAACTAACCAGTTCTAGATTTTCATTCTAAGAATCATTCCTGAAAATTTAAAATTGATCTACCAAACCATTCACCTGAAAACGAGTAGACAAGACTTTACAGACAAGATTTTAGGACAGAAAATCCAAAATGGCTGCCTTGACATTTACCCAGAATGCCAAAAAACTAATGAGATCTAGATTTTTATACTAAGAATCATCCCTGAAAATTTGAAATTGATCCACCAAATGGTTCACCTGAAAACGCGCAGACAAGACTTCACAGACAAGATTTTAGGACCGAAAAATCCAAAATGGCCGACAATAAAAAAGTCCTTATGAGGTTTTGTTGATTTCTTTTTACAAAATTATCACATATAACTACTGTTAACAATAAAGTAGGCTTTTACAACAAAGTACATCTGTAATTATTTATAAAGCTACTAAATAGTTAAAGTATGAAAACTCAAAAACACCATTCAATATGATACAAAGTATTATCGGGCCCTAACTTTTCTTAAGACATTCAAAATGGCTGACATGACTGAGCTAGCAGGTCCAAAACCTAATCAGATCTAGAATGAAGTGAGCTGAACAAGATGTTAAAGTTTTAAAAGCAACTGTGAAGCAGTTTTTCTTAAAGTTTGCAGACAAGGATTTTAGCATTTGACCACAAAATGGCCGACAGGAAGTAGGTTTCGAGTTAAATTTTTTTCATCCACATCTATAGGCACTCATAAGTTATCCCTGAAAATTTGAAGGTGATATCTGTAGCGATTTTGGAGAAAACTCCCGGACGTACGGACGGACCGACGGACGGACGGACGGACAGACGGACGGACAGACGCGCCTAGGCCGACAATATGGCCCCACACTATGTGGTGGGGACATAAAAAGTAACAATGTGAAACTGATATAGTGTAACAGTGTAGGATGGCATTAACATTGGTAGAGCATCAGATAACAATGATAATATAACAATGTTAGATAGCATAGAAAATGTAACATATTAGATAACATCAGTGTTGGAAAACAAGGATAATGTAAAAGCATTGGATAACTGAGATAATATATTGTAACAACATTGGATAACATAGACATTACATTACAGACAATGTAACAATGTTGACAAAGACAATGAAATAGAGTTTGATACAGCATTTAAAAAGTATTGTACCTAGTAGAAATAACTTATGTGAATTAAGTTAAACACATTTTCAACATTTAACAAGCTCCATAATTTCAATGAAAAATTGTAATAAAAAAGATTTGACTGTAAATGTAATGACTGCATGATGTGTAATGTATTTGCTGTACTGCACATACTGTACTATATACATTTAAATTTCATATAACTGTTGTGTATTAAAATAAACAATTATAAAAATGGATAACAATAGTTCAGAATTGCTGTACTTCAAACTTTATGATTTACCATACCTACTTTCTCTCTATATATATTTAATGAAGAATCCCCTTTCAAATTACAGTATTAGCCTACACAGACAGACAGTTACTGGAGCAGTCATTTAATTTGTATATTTGTTGATGGATTGACTTCAGTTTATGATACATTTAGGTGGCCACATTGACATTGTGTCCAGAATGAGAAACATCAATGACATTAATGACTTAAAGACAAGCATCTCAAATAACAATTCAATGACATTTATTAAAGGGACCAGGATGACAAAAAATGGCAGGAGTGGTCTGCCTTTTTTTAATATTATATTCCTGATAGACAAGGAATATACTTATATAATAACTTGATGGCAATAGTCCTGGAATTTGATTTTATAGGTTTAGAGATCCAAGGAGGATTGGAAGCCATTATTCAAACTTGATTCTGTGATGCCTGGAATAGACCAATTTTGTAACAATATTACTCATATTTTGAAAACTAGAACTGCTGAGGAAGCTAGAATACTACCAAAATATTCGCAATGACCATCTTTCAATGAAATACTTGGTCCAAAGAGAAATTATAGAATTTTTTTACTAAATTGTTCCACTGCAGGCAACAGAGTATCGAGTTTGAAAACTGCTGCCATTTCTCCTTGGTTAAGATCTATGTAGGATGCACAACCATAAACAGATGACTTTGATGACTCCAAACAACAAAGATATTCTAATATGATACCCCAATTTCACATCAATATTGCTGAACATTAAAGATTCGAAAATTAAAAAAGTAGATCTAGATCCAAGCATAACCTACAATACAATGAAAACAAGGAAGAAAGGCCACCATTGTTCACTGTTGATTCTCTAGTGAACCTCACATTTAGTGGTCAGTTCTGAACCACGTCAACATGATCAGCTAATCAGCAGGGTAAGATTAGATAAATCTCATTGCATTCACATTACAAAATTCAAACTCAAAACACCATATATTAGAATTATTTTTCATAATTGAATCTAATGTATTCATGCTAAATGTGTAGATCATAGATCATAATGTATGAATAGCAACTTGATCAGAAAAAAAATTCCAAAAATGAAACACCCTACAGTTGGGGACAAAAATAAATGACAGGTCGATTTTTATTTTTAACATGGGAAATCCTCACTTCAGCAAATCCACCTGTAATTTATTAAGGCCAAACAAAGAAATACCTCCGTTTCCGGAACCCCGACCGACCCTCCCTTTAGACCCATGACCCTAAAACATTTTTCAGCATTTGAAAATAAAATACAAATTTGAATCCTGATCCCGTTCATAAAGCTTTTTATTCTACTCAAAACGTGACCAGAACAGAAGAATATAAAGTCACCTACCTTAGAGAAGAACAATTTGAAGTAAAATAGCCAGATAATCATCAGTATTTAGAAAAAAACACTGAAAAATCATCTGAATTTTGCCGTGAGCAAGCAGGAAATTAGCCTACTCAGAGCTAACAATTTGGGTATTTTGTATTGATCGCACTGCCATCTTTATGACTTATGAAAAACTTTTGAAGTCCAAATTCATTTATAACAACCTGACACCTGTCTAGAACTTCTTGGATTCAATTCAAAAGATGCACAAAACAAAGTTTCCCTTTTAAAATACTGATTTCTACACTCTGAAATAAAAGCTTGCAGGGTGATATATACTGTGGCAGATATAACAATATGTTTTTATTCAAGTGTAACAGATATTACATGTATATAATTCTAGTGTAGACAGTTTATCAGCATGTTCTCTAACATACCCTAAAAAATTATGAATAAAAATTTCGAAAAAAATAAAATATTTTTCCTACCTATCTACCCGAATCTGAAAAGTCATTGAGCAGGAAACGGACATATATTTTTGTTTGGCCTTATGTTCCAAACTGTAATCATTACCATGGCAAAATTTATCCAGATTGGATTATGGATCGTACCAATTCAGTGAATTCACAGTCCCTGAAGTGGGAATTCAATTTTCGTATTTATGAAATCTCCATATGACAGAATATCGAGTTGGAACGCTGGGTGTGACCCAATCCTCCTTGATTGAGAAATTGGAAAAAATGCCACTTGATTATTTGAGCTTCTTATATGTTTGACTCATTACTATACACCTAAAACAAATGATAGACATTATGAAAATATATTATGATAAGTATTTAACAAATTTTACTTACATATATCGAGATATAAGTAAAAACTCGTAGATTTCTGGAAAAAACAGTCCTGACAAATAGAGCTTCCGGTTCCGGTGAACCACCACATAAAAGATGTCGGGTGGTTGAAAGAAAGCATTTGAAACTTGATTTAAATTCTACCATAGAGAAGAACAATGAGGTTGTTTAGCTGTTTGATCGTAGCAGTAATGCATGTATATAGTGGAGCTGTAATTGATGCAAGTCACTGTGTGTAAGTTAGTTTTGATCAATTGCAAAAGGGATAAAGTGGGGTGCAAAAATAAATCTCAACCCTCAAAACTTGTCACAATGAGCTAAATTCTAAGTTTCGTGTCTCAAACTCTCCCAAGCAGTAGAAAAATAATTCTCATTGACTTAAAGTAGCACATTAAGGTCTCATGGAAGTTAACAGGAAATGACAAAACAGGAAGTGACAATTTTTTGGGCATTTTTAGACATTTTTTGAACAAAGATAACAGAGTTCACATTTGACCTCCAGTCAATTCAACTAGTTCCAGATACCATTTACAGGTCCAGGATCACAATGTTTATGGTCAGAATGACCCTAAATATCATGAAATAACCTTTTCAGCCCTATGAAAATGTGACTGAAAAATAGCTAAAAGAAGGAGGTAGGAAAGGTCACTGAACAGAATCTTTTGAATTTTTCAGAAAATGTGCCCAATATATTGCTCTAAATGGTACAATCTTTGAAAATTTGATATCATTCATAGAAAGAGAAAAAAAATGAAAAAACTGATTTAAAAAGCGATCTATTTTCCTTTTTATGACCGCCATTTTTGTTTACGACAATTTTCTAAAATTTCAAAGATTGTATCAGTTAGAGCATTATATTGGGCACATTTTCTGAAAAATTCAAAAGATTCTGTTCAGTGACCTTCCCTAGCTCCTACTTTTAGCTTTTTTTCAGTCACACTTTCAAGGGACTAAAAAGGTTATTTCATCATGTTTAGGGTCATTCTGACCATGCACATTGTGATCCTGGTCATGTAAATGATATGTGGAAACAGTTAAATTGACTGGAGGTCAAACCAGAACTCTGTTATCTTTGTTCAAAAAATGTCTAAAAATGCCCAAAAAATTGTCACTTCCTGTTTTGTCATTTCCTGTTAACTTCCATGAGACCTTAAATGAATCCAAAGCTTGATGGATAAATCCAAATCGAATGAATGTTTTCACGAATCGCCATGTTTGTGATCCAAGGAGGATTGACTCCCAGAATGCAACATCAGGTACTCTTATTTACTCGTGACAGATTTCAAAATGGCGGAACAGCATTTTGAAAGCTGACACGTGTCATGTTGCATTCTGGGAGCCAATCCACATTGCCCCGTAATCCGGCTCCAAAATCACCTCAACATTTGAAGAGTCGACATGTGAATTCCACTTCAAATTTTAAGTTCTTATTTGTCATTATGGACACGAATTCCACTATATCGGGACTTACTAGGATGGAGAAAATAGAGCACTGAATACACTGAGGTAAGAATTTATTACATGTGCGATAGCATGTAATTTCCATAGCTTTTGTAATTCTTTATGGTGAGCACTATAAGTCATTTTCCCCCTTTTCTCCACACAGTAGGTCTTGAGTCTACAGTGCTCATCCAGGGGGAGGGGATAATTGTCCAATTGTCCCGTAATTAGGGCTGCCATCGAACTCAAATGTCAGTGTCGACAGTCGAACTCTGCTGTCGAAAATATTGTCGACAATCGAACTTTCCAGGGAGAAAAAATCATCGGGAAAAAAAGAAAAATTATTTCTGTGTTGTTGGTTCGTTTTTTCCAAATCTATCGGGGAAAAGCTTCATATAACTTATATTCATATTGGTATGTAATTGCCTAATATTGTTACTAAATGCCAAGTTAATAGAATATTATAGACGAAAATGGGACAAATACCTGCAATGTTTCGACCGGGATTTATTTCGACTGCTCGGGCGAAATCTCGTACAACGTCTCGCAAGAGAGAAGAGAAGTCATGAAGGGAACTTCCGGGTGAATTTATTTTTTGAAAATGAAATGAATGTGAACAATATTTCCGCAGAATACGCGCACATAACACGTTGAAATGTGTATTGAAATGTATTGGGGCCATTTGGATATTTTCAAGTAAGTATTGATATCGTTTGCTGTCGACATGACGGGAATTTTTGTCGACTTCGTTGTCGAACTTGCATTTTGACTGACAAGTCGACGTTCCGACTAATGATGGCAGCCCTACCCGTAATTTGCATATTTGTCGCACATTTACTGAAGAATTTAAAGTCATGCAAGCTTTTTTTGCGTGACAGAATAGTCAAGCAAAAATATTTCTGTAGAACAAAAAACAAATGAACGCCGATCGATACATCCAAAAAACAAACACCAAAGAAAAATGAACACATTTCGTTCGGAAATATCACGGAAGTCAGAGAAGATACTTTGATAATCTATGATTTTTTTGCTAAATATGGTATGTATTTATCGCATCCTACGACCCCTTTAGATTGTGGTCGTACGCCCGCTTCATTGGTAAGCCTGTCTTTCTACAATGTTGGAGAATGAACTACGCATTGCACTATTAAATGACCTACCTCGATACATTCCAGAGTATTTTAGAATTCTTTTTATGTTGTTAGATGCCAATTGTATGGGTTTATCGGCAGAACGAAGATATTTTCGTTTTTGATAGCAATATTTGCGTGTAATATTTAACTTATTTCAACCGTCAAATTCCTCTATTCAGTTCCCGGCATGCACAAGTCATAAGGGAAATCCCCGGGGAATTCCCCTTCTGACATTTTGAAAATTGCTGACATATTTCCGATGTAAAAACTAAAATCTCTTCGTTCTGCCGATAGGTGTTCGGTGATCACCTTTAATTGACTCTAAAATGTCCTTTAATCAATTCAATAAAGTCCTTATTCTGACTCAAATGTATCAAGGATTCCACTATTTAAAGGGTTCCGATAAGCTTCCCGTATAAAAACAATATGGTGGCGCCAGGCGAATCAACTGGATCAGTCCATTTTTAAGAAATAAGGGGAGTTCTGTAAAATCCACTTTATTGAAATTGTCTTTGAGATAAAGTAATCCGTTTATAATGATTTTGAAAACAATATCCATAGAGTGATTGCGTTCAAAGAATATGTACAACAGCCAATATTAATCCTTGTATTAGAACTGCTTTGTTTCATTTGTAGGATATTTCATATGCCAAGCTGTGTGCTATTACGTTATGGGGAAATTTAGATGTAAATTTTTCCTTATTATATACAAATAGAAGATCCTGAAACTTCACCCATAAATGTGGAATTGATTTGTCAAAATAAAAATCACCCTTTTATAAATGTGTGACGATCTATAATATACTTATGCTATATAACAGTAAGAGGTGTTGACACAACAACCTCGAACCTGTGAACCCTTGAGTATTATTCCGGGATCGGGCCTTTTATACTAAACGGTGAGCAACACCAGAAACGAGCGTTCGAGTTGTTAAACGATATGCGTCACCCTTTAAAGGGTCATCTCAATGAGATTATTAAAACACAACAAACAATTATGAAGAGAATAAAACTTGGCAATAAAAGGATGAACCATTCAGATGAAAGTCAGTCTAAAATAAGTCAGTTGATATAACAATGCTACAACAAAACAAAAACTTATCGCTAGAGTGTCATGGGTTATCATGGGTAGAACATACAAACTAAATTGATTATTCCCTCCTCTATTTAGGCTTGTTTAATAACTGGTTTCTTTATATAATATAGCAAAATGCTGCGAAATCAAATCCTTGCTGTAGTGGACACCTACCAACAGTAAACATTTTATCTCAGCAAAAAATGTTCACTATAGACAGGTTTTACTGTACAATGAACATGTATATATTTTTTTTTAAATCAGTGATTTTTGAAGAAATAAATAATGTGGCACTTTGTCGTACATTAAGCCATGTTTATTATAAAGTTAAAAAAGAGAATCAGAATCTTTTATTTTACTTATACTATGTAAAGATATAGAGAATAACCCTGCTTTATAACCAAATTTTGGGATCCTGTTCGATCTGTGTCTCGTTTAAAGCCTTACTATGCATATTTTCAACACTTTTTGGCAAAGTACTTATTTTTGAACTTCATACATGTAATTTCCAATGGATTGACAAGTACTTTATCTTTCATTAGACATCAAAAACAGGCCAAATGGGCCACATCAAAGCTTACAATAAATTATTGAAAATATTTTTGATCTGTCAATTAGTTTTATTATATCAAGTTTTTACCAATGTCAATGAAGGATGGCTTAAAGTTGCTTAAAGTACATGATTCATTCATTTTTATAGAAATGTCACCATCTTTTAAATCAACAGTTATTTAAAACATGCACTTTGTCCAAAATGTTTATCATAAAGCAACAGCAACGGGAGTAATCATTAGAATTGTAAATTCGGCCTTAAACATCTAAATTCTAAGGATTCCTGAAATAAAGTGGAAACTCTTGGACATTTTAGAAACAAAACATGACATGATGACTTTAAAAAATATTGTAAATTTGTGACTTCTTTTATTCTATACATTTAAAGATATTTATGAGACCATTTTTATTTTACACTTCATAAATCAATCCACTAATATATTAATGTACAATTTCCATATTTGTAATCAATCATATAAAGAGACACATACTGACAAATGTTGAAATTATCTTAATCTTTTCATTTTAGCCGCAAATGTACAGTTGATGATAGCACTGATGAATGCTGGACACAATCTCTGGCCTACTTTACTTCAGCCATGCATGATGCAGTAAGAGACTATGCTAGTGCCCTGATAACAATAGGTAAAAACTGTTTAATGGTATTTCATAGGTTTTTATGTTATTTAGAAACTGTGGAAATGTGATCTCGAAAGTATTATTTCAAAATGCAAAGGGGTATACCTTCTCAAGCAGAGGTCCAACACCCATAAGGCATAAGCCTATAAAATTTGAATCAACTCCATCAACCAGTATTTGAGTTATTGGATGTATGGATGAACAAACGGATGGGCAGAGGGATGAATGGCTTCTCTATATCCCTCTCGAACTTCGTTTGGTGGGATAATTCATTATCTCCTTTTGAACTTGACCCCTCCATGCCCTCTCAAAACATAACATTGTATTAGATATCAGGAAGTCTATATCTTTCTTTCAGTCACAGGTTTGGGTACTGGGGTAGATATGATTTATCTCCCTTGGGGTATCCAAAACCTCATATGAGATTACCTCATTCATTATATTTCCAGGGCGATGGAGAGAGAGGAATCATGATGTGGTGCCAGTCAACTTTGAGAAGAGCCTCATCTATGATATTGCAATGAGAGATCTTGAACCTTTATCTAAGCAGGACCTTCTGGAAGTGTATACGTTAATTTTAAATAAGGTTAGCCCCTATGTAGAATATATAATTAAAACAGTATATCATCCGACCATATGTAATATGTGAACATTAGTGAACATGTAATATTTGATGTAATTACTCAGTTATCAAGAGACAACCAGTCAATTCATCTACCAAGCCCCATATTCAAATGTATTTTCAATAGTAATCATTTCTAGCCAGAGAGGTTGTAGTTCAGGTATTAGTATTACAATAGAAAAAAGAAAAATTCTAATGAATTTTAATTTTTATTCCAGACTATTCATGCATATGGTCACTTCACACAAGAAGAGGCAGTTCATCTCCCATCATTTCAATGTCCGATTCCATGTAACTATGACAACACACTTTGGATTACCTTATTTGGACTGATGGTAGCAATATTGATGTGTGTATTATTAGTAATAGGGTGTTACATGTGGAAAAACTATGATGCTCAAAAGCCAGGAGGTCCTTTAATACAAATGACCAGATACCAGGGTGATTGAATGTACTGATTAATGGTTGAATTTGAATGCTACAATATGGTTGAATGCACCAATATGGTTGAATGCACCACTACGGTTGAATGCACAAAGGGGATTGTACCAACCAAGAGGATAGAAAGCATCAAGTTGATTTAGCAGTTTTAGCAGCATAAATACAGTATTTGTGGGCTAATTGACGAAACATAAAAATTGTAATCGTTATCAAAACTAGTGCCAACAGGTGGAAGTGATGTTACACAATTGGTGTGAATATTTTTTTGATCTGATGATTTGAGAAATCATAATAAAATAAAGCGTATGGTCATCTTTTTAAGCACATCCAGTATCTAAATGTCACTATTCTGTATATCTATGTCCACTAGTCCCACTATTTATCAGGTCAGGTTTCATTGTTCACAGGTCCCATAATTTATCAGGTCAGGTCTAATTGTCCACTAGCTCCTACCATTTATCAGGTCAGGTCTAATTGTCCACTAGTCCCACCATTTATCAGGTCAGGTCTAATTGTCCACTAGTCCCACCATTTATCAGGCCAGGTCTAATTGTCTGTTAGTCCCACTATTTATCAGGTCAGGTTTCATTGTCTGTTAGTCCCACTATTTATCAGGTCAGGTCTAATTGTCTGTTAGTCCCACCATTTATCAGGTCAGGTTTCATTGTCCACAGGTCCCATAATTTATCAGGTCAGGTCTAATTGTCCACTAGTCCCACCATTTATCAGGTCAGGTTTCATTGTCCACAAGTCCCATAATTTATCAGGTCAGGTCTAATTGTCCACTAGTCCCACCATTTATCAGGTCAGGTCTAATTGTCTGTTAGTCCCACTATTTATCAGGTCAGGTTTCATTGTCTGTTAGTCCCACTATTTATCAGGTCAGGTTTCATTGTCCACAGGTCCCATAATTTATCAGGTCAGGTCTAATTGTCCACTAGTCCCACCATTTATCAGGTCAGGTTTCATTGTCCACAGGTCCCATAATTTATCAGGTCAGGTCTAATTGTCCACTAGTCCCACCATTTATCAGGTCAGGTTTCATTGTCCACAAGTCCCATAATTTATCATGTCAGGTCTAATTGTCCACTAGTCCCACCATTTATCAGGTCAGGTCTAATTGTCCACTTGTCCCATAATTTATCAGGGCAGGTTTCATTGTCCACTAGGCCCACCATTTATCAGGTCAGGTCTAATTGTCCACTAGTCCCACCATTTATCAGGTCAGGTTTCATTGTCCACAGGTCCCATAATTTATCAGGTCAGGTCTAATTGTCCACTAGTCCCACCATTTATCAGGTCAGGTTTCATTGTCCACAGGTCCCATAATTTATCAGGTCAGGTTTCATTGTCCACAGGTCCCACCATTTATCAGGTCAGGTTTCATTGTCCTCAAGTTCCATAATTTATCAGGTCAGGTCTAATTGTCCACTAGTCCCACCATTTATCAGGTCAGGTTTCATTGTCCACTGGTCCCACCATTTATTACTATTATTACTTGAAATGTATTAAATGTGTACTTGAAAAAAAAATATATATACATACTCCAAACTGGGCATCATATTTGAAGAAATTGAAGATCTGTATTTAGAGTCTTTTAGTCCATATTTCTGGCCAAAAAGACTTCATCCTTTTAAAACAAAACATTGTTTAAGACATCAATCACATCAGAAGGTTATTGCATATATAGAGCAAAAAATGATTGTCTAGTCCAAATGAAGAATTTTTAATCTTGGATTAAACATGTTAGAATGCATGTTGGAGCTTTAATATTTTAGTGCTTGTTTTGATTTGGTGAACAACATGGCATATGATCACAATTAAGTCCTTGCCTGTTGCCAGTTTACAATGAACAATTCCTATAATTTTTCAAAACATCAGCCAAATCCAATGTAATCCTGAATCCAGATATTGTGTTATTTTATAAAAAAAACTGTATCATAGTAAACATTTACAGTTGTTACATTTTTAGTCTACCCAAAATATATGTAAAAATTGTCCATTTTGTAAATTTTACATGTAAATATCTGGTTTTATATCATCTGTATATTATATTATTGTCACACTTGTGACTTGATTATGGTATTTATCTGTAACCAAATGGCTACACTTTTGTAATTGAAATCAGGTAGTGACATTTTGTCATATTAATGGTTCATTTTGAAGATTGACTTTGAAGTCATTTGTACATTGGACCATATTGATATTGGTAAGAATTTACTGGTTTATTTTAAGAAAGTAGAACATTTTAAGTCCACCCTGTATATTATCTAAACCTGTGGTTACTAGATATACATGTATCACGAAAGGAAAGACAGTAAAAAATGGACCATCAGATCGGCCCTATCAGAAATAAACTATTTTTACACCTATGTTTCATTCTTTACCAAGAATAGTGTTACATTGTATTGTGAATGTATATAGTGAGAGCTGTAATATTTTATTTGTACAAACAAAGGCAGACATATTTTTCTGGTTCTGTCCTTTCAAGATCTGAAGGCCCGACCCTATTGTACTGTAACTTGGATTGATTCGAAGAATTGAAAAATTTGCCAATTTACCCCCATCACCCAAAATGTTAAGTCTTTGGACGTCCTTTTCATACTACTGTATGTACACCATGTTCTTTTCATACTATGTACACCATGTTCTTTTCATACTATGTACACCATGTTCTTTTCATACTATGTACACCATGTTCTTTTCATACTATGTACACCATGTTCTTTTCATATAATGTACACCATGTGGAGTTTGTCATCAGGTGAAACAATGTCAAGAGATCATGTCTATTGTACTGTACATTGGCTAAGAAAACACAACAAAGTCAAGTATTTGTTGCTTCAAAGGTCGGATTCTATTAAAAAAGAGAAATTGAACATTGATCTTTTCATCAGTCAAAAACTTAAAAAGTAACAGTATGAAGGGGGAGGGGATATTTTAGATGACTTGTACACTGTGCCTTTATACAATAAATTTTTTAATAAAATGAATAGCCCTTTTATTGAATTTATTACTTAGTGAGACAAAAGATACACATTAATTTATCAGACACAATATTTACAACTACATATACAGGATATAAATAGAAAATGGGAAAATTTGAAATCCCAGAGGCATGCTTAAGTGTCTCATTTTGATCAAATAAACCAACATATTTTGTATATACTGTATCTTTTACATCCCTGTAGAACATGCATTTACATATTATAAAATTACAAATACATGTATAGTCATTAGTTATTTCAGATTGTCTTGAAGTATTACTCTATGCTATTTTCTTAAGGAAGGCAAAGTGGAGTAAATTATTTCGCAATATTACTCATTCTAGTTTGTCTACCTTAAGAACACCTACATTACTACATGTCATATAGGTTTATCATCACCTATAAGTGACACCTCAGTTGAAACATGGTATAATGTATATTGGAGAAATATTCATTTTTGGAAGAATATTGTCTGTAGTTGTAATAAAACGTTCTTAGAAACAACCTTAATGATGTCTGAAAGTTTTTTTTCTGGAATTATTTTTGAGTACATTTGTGATTCTATTGCTTGACAATGTTTTGTTACATTATTGTACACACTACTCAATTAGTCTAAAATAATTTATTAGACCCAGATAGACCCGTAAAAGTCTGGTCTCAATTGTAAGCATTTAAAGCTTAATGTCTAACAAGTAGCATGTGAGACCAGACAGTCCGATAATGTATATCCAGGTTCCGCGTATCATTGATGACCCCATAAACACATAGTTGCATTCATCTTCCTCGCAGCATCGTGTACATGTGGGATCTTTAGGGTGGGGCTTACATTTATCCTGGCAGTCTTTAGTGCCATTGTAGCAGCCCCTGGAGATGAAGTTGGCAGACTTTGGGCCACTGGGTGGAAAGTAGTATGTGACACTAGACTGAAATGGAAAATATATTTGTTGCTTATAAAAACTCAAATAACTCAGGAAGCAGACAAACAATTATAATGTAGGAATGGAACTACATATTAGCATGGCCACCTTAGCTTGCAAGATATACTTCGGAATTTTGGAAAAATGATGTTAAATGTCTGGATATCATGAATGGAGTTGCTCTTTATAAACAAATTGATACAAAGGAATAATCTCTTGTAGCGCCTGTTGCACGCTTATTATGTCACCACCAAGAAGTGGTGACATATAATAATGGTTTCCGTTTTTTATGGCAGCGGTTGGTGGTTGGGGGTTGGTGATCAATGGGTGGTGGTTGGCGTCTGTAACAAGTTCTTAAAACTTCCAATAACTTAACAAATACTGTTTAGACCAACTTCAATGTTTTCAAAATTATGTACAATTTTTCAGAAGTTCAAATCCGACTTTACATTTAAGATTTGACCTTCAATGACCTTTTCAAGGTCAAAAAAAGGTTAGAAGATGTCAAAAGGGTCTTCCTTTAACTTGCTTTAAATTGACCAATTTTTTTCAAAATCATCTACAAGTTATCGGAAGTTCAATTCCCACTTTAAATTTAAGATTTGACCTTCAAAGACCTTCTCAAGGTCAAAGAAAGGTCAAAAGTCTTTTTCAACTTGCTTCAAATTGACCATTTTTTTCAAAATCATCTACAAGTTCTTAGAAGTTCAAATCTGATTTTAGATTTCACCTTCAATGACCTTCTCAGGGTCAAAAAACTTCAAATTGACCAATTTGTTTTCAAAATCATCTACAGAGTTTTCAGAAATTCAAATCATGACTTAACATTGAACTAGGTGAGCAACTAGGTGGTGACATTTTGTCATGTTAATGCCTTGTTACTTACAATTGGTATACACACTGGTCTCTTGTAGTGCCTATTATATACCAATTATATACTTACAATAATGAAAACACATTGGTCTCTTGAAGTGTGCACTACATGCTTGTTACTTACAATAAGCGTCTACTACACACTTACAATGCAATCTGTTTTTTGTAGTATCTACTACACGCTTGTTACTTACAATACACACTGGTCTCTTGTAGCGCCTACTACATGCTTGTACAGGAACTTGTTCTGGATTGCTTCTACAATTCTCATCTGGGATAGAGATGCTCCATTGACAGGTGTGGCATCTCAGACCTTCAACCATAGCTGAATCACAAATATATACTCTACTTTCACTTGCAGTGATTATAACAAATTGATATCAAATTTGCCATACCAATAGTGGTGAAACATCCAACAAAAAAGACCAAGAGTCCTGGTTTTATAATGAATCTGACAAAGTGAACCAGGATGTGAGGTGAAAGGAACATGATAAAACAGTTCGAAAAAATGATCAAACGTGATCTTATTAATCAATACCAGTGATACTTTATGCTTCCATCTGTTCTTTTTTTCAATTAAATTCAAATTCAATGATTGTTGAAAATCTAATTAGCCATGAAATGTATACGCCCCATGGGGTGTCTTTTTCATGTATTGTATGAAACATTGTATGATTGATTTTTAATTTAATAAATTGAATTGAATTGAATTGCTTCATAAAAGTTTTATAACAATTTTGCTGCAATCTTTAAATCATTCCTGTAACACTACATGTATCTGTAGATCCATTTCACAATGCACATGTTAACACAAACTTAGTGTCTTGTGTGTGTAATGACCTGTTATAAAATTTTCCTAATCATCTTTATTGAATGAAATTTTTCGCAACCTCATTCTTATTTATCGACATTTTAATCTAAATTATTAATTTTATTATGTCACCACCAAAAATTGGTGAGATATTGTGGTGGTCTCCATTTTTTGTGACGGCGATCGGCGGAAGGCGGTTGGCGAGTGGCGTCTGTAACAAATTCTTACAACTTCCAATAACTCAACAAATACTGCTTAGACTGATTTCATTTCTTTTCTTATTAATTATTTTTATGAAACAATATGCTATAAAGCTGTGTTTCTAAAGACAAGGGGCCTAAGACTTGACTACACTTACCCAAACACAGCAAAATAGCCAAGCTTTGTAACAATGATTTAACATCCATATTTTCTATTTTTCCAGATTTAAACGATATCTCATTGATTTTTCATTTCTTATGATATGAGCAAATACTTGTATATATTGTTTTGATTATAGTTTGGTATTTATGAGTCCAAATCCTGATTCATAAAAAGGGCAGCTTTACAGTATAAGTAAATAAATTTATGTCAAACAAAAGAGCCCTACTTATAGTTGCCCTTGTGATATCACATGATTAAAATTGACCAATTAGTGAAGACAATTCAGTTTAATTATATGTTTTTTCATGGGACTGATACATCAACTACAATGTTTCTTTAACATACAGAAATGGTTTCTGGCCAATTGTTTAGAATTGTGACATTTATGTCTTTCTGTAAGGCTCCCACAGTTTAATTGTGTGTTTAACTTGAGACAAATCACATATAAATCGCTTAAACACTCCCTTTCAAAAGACTCTAGACAAATCACATCGCTTACACTCCCCTTCAAAAGACACTAGACAAATCACATAATCAATTACACTGTACACCTCATTCAAAACGTTGGCAACTAGAAGTCCAAATTGAAAAGTAAGATCACATTTATGTTTAAAACTTGATTTTGTCTCAATAACAAGAAGTTGGAAATTTTTGACTGTTGAATTTTCAAAAATTAAAACAGGTTTGCACATTTGGTTAAAAGGGGGACTTTCCAAAAGACACTAGACAAATCATTTGGAAGGGAGGGTATTTGTTACTGATTTAATACATTTTTGAAACGACAATGAACTAGTATTGAGTATTGCCGCTTCCCCTAGACATATATATCATATATGGACCCGCTTGAATTGTTGTATAGAGCGTTTCAAGAATATGTCGAAATAAATAAATCAATCTAAATATTCAAGACAATTTGATGAGTCAAATTTGGGTATATGGCACTACCATGTGACTTCAATTACAACGTTTAAATTGGAGACATGTCTGAATTCATACATTCCTGTAAATCTTGTAAATGTAAAGGCATTGCCTCACCTGCCTCGTAATTAGCGAGCGAGGAAATGGTGGTGCGCGATTAAACATTTGACGTTCGCGATGTGAGAATCGTGGTTCAAGTGCAAGGAACGAATTAGTTCGCGAGGTCATAACTGATGTTCGCGTTGGTGGAAGTCTAGGAAACCTGGATTATAGGCAGCTGATTAATCGGCGATCTAAAACATTTGGACTAATATACTGTACTGATCACATTGTGTTTCGAAATATTTTGTTTGGAAATGAGACTCGCAAAGTGAAATGAAACTCGCAATTTGAATTCTGAATTGAAAAATGGCGACTGTTTGATTTAGAATTTTGTCACGACATGACTCCATGTCCATATATGGCAGAATATCGGAATTGAACCCTGGGAGGAAATCCTCCTTGCACACTGTCCTTTGATATACCCATTGATCATTGGATGCTGATTATGGATCTCATGAACATATACATGTACAGTGATAATTTGGAGCTGACAACTATGGATCTAACAGAAACATAAATAGCAATTTTTGTTTTATTTGACCACTATATATATTGCTATATAGCTTTGAAATATCTCCTCTTTCCAATGGTATATCAATTATTCATATACGACCACAGACCACTGAATAATCATTCCTTTTGCTCTAGACCAAGTTTTAGACTAGACATTGCAACAGTTGACAGAGAGTCACAAATGAGGTTGCTGCTCTCCGCCAGAACCCCAGATGATTCAAAGAGGTGTTCATGACATGGACATGCAGGTTCTCTGTGTGTAGAGAAATAGTGGTCATGTGAAAGGGCATGGAATTTAATTTCTATGAGTAATCTTTCATAAGATGACAGGCAATGACTGTTTATGTCACTTTTTCCATGTTTCGTTTCTGTTCATTAGACATGACTGATTGACAACAATTTAATGCGAAAATTATTTAGTAATATTAACATTTTTTTAACAAAATAGCATATACAACATGTGTTTAGACCTCTCAATATTATAGTTATACAAAGGAATTTTTTGGTTGATTTTAAAAAAGTATTCAAAAAATTAAAACAGAATCCCCCCAAAATAGATAAACATCAAGATAAACCTTTTATTTCATTAACAAGATACTTTTTTAAAATCAACCAAATTTTCTTTTGTACAATTACAATATTGAGAGACCTATTTAAACATGTTGTGTTTATGTCAATTTGTTCCAATGAGGTTCAGAAAGATGTTTCATTTCACTCTGGAAACATGATACCAAGAACAAAACAAGTGTTTGATGTGTTTTCTAAAACAATAAAGATGAATGTTTATATATATTTTTCAAATTATATTGTTACCATTCAAAAGATGACCATTAAATTGATGATGTGTTAAATTTTTAGATTTTTTTATAACTGGTTTAAGAAAAACGTGTGTTCAAAAAGTTCTCCATATCGATAGGCCTACCACTCTTTTACTTATTTTGCAAATCATACAGAATATCCACACACAAAACTAAGTTTAACTTATCATAAAATAGTTTATGATTGCATAAAACTAGTTTGGTCGTATTTTGATAGCTTGTTATAAATGGTGAATTCATCGTTACGTACGTAACAAATAATTCAATTATCTTATTATCGGATTATAAAGATATGTGGCATTGATATAATTTGTCACAATGGATTTCCATGAAAACTAGAGGATATGGTCGGCATTAGTTTACATTCATAGAGGTCAAAATTCATATTTTAACGTTTAAATCTTATTAATTCCTGACTCTGATAGATCAAATTAGTTATGGAACGGATAATTCTGATTGATAGGCTCGGGAATATAAAGAGAATGCTTTATTCATAGAATATTATAAAAGTTAAAAATATTTGAGTATAATGCCCCAGAAATGCTGAAACCAAATGTATAGGCTTTCAACCATGAAAATCCTTTGAATAGTTGATTTTTGTAGATGACAAAGACAAGAGCAGAAATACAAAAGCGTACACATTGAAAGCAAAAGACAATGAAAAAGAGAGAGAGAACGAAAGGACTGTAGGTTCAGACCTTATCGAATGATCTGACGGACTAAAAAGAATGCATACAGCTCATTGGACTCAATCTGATCGTTGTTCAATGAAAATTAAGTTTTCAAATTAGCAGAGTAGCAGGCCCATCATTCTTGGCTGCACTGCCCTCCGTTGAATCAAAACGCATGTTCCCCGCTACAAATGTAGAATGGGGTAAAATAAACAATATCTTGGCCAATGACTGATTGTTTTAGTGGCATCATATGCAGAGCTGTCACGTGTCCCGCGAATGGCGGGATTATCCCGCGAATTCGATCAAAATTAGGCTAATTCGCGTGTCCCGCAATGTCCCGCGAAGTCCCGCAAATGTGACTTTCGACCTCCGCGAATTTCCGAAATTGTTGCAATCCCCTATATGGTGATTATCTTATCTTATATAAGAAGCTAAGTTTTTGCACTTTTGAGGAGTAAAGTTTACCTAATTTTAAGTACCTAGCATGCTGTTGTTTGGTATCAAAATAAAGAGGAAGGGTTCAACTTTCATTTTAATTACGACAATAGGGATGTAGGTCACAAATAGTTCCAACGTTGGCCTTTTTACTATCCGTGTGGCCTTCATCTCAGAACTGAGCAAATGTTAGCAAACGCGAGTTACAATAAATGGACGCTGATATCTAGAAAGGGTTTGTAGAAAAAACCGGGTTCCGGGTAGTAAATCCTCCATGCTGGGTTCAAACTTGGTACCCGGTACCCGGTCAAAAAACGGGTACCCAAAAAATGAAATATACGAATATACGAGTATAACATAATTAGATTATCAGAAAACGTGTAAGATTTGTTTTGAATTGACAAAAATGTATGTAACATCCTTCAAAATTGAGCTAGAAGCTTCAAATAAAAAGCATATTTTAAGGCTCTTTTCTTCCTCTATCGTCATGACCATATTTTCATTGGTTATGTTCACGTACCAACATACGAACTCATTGAAAATAGAGTAAAATTGATTTGTCTTGTTATTCAAATCGTCTTACAGTGTCATTGGCGTAGCCAGGAGAGGGTGTGATGGTGCGATCGCACCCCCTCCCCCTTCATTACCAATGGAAATATGACCATGATGATAGAGGAAGAAAAGAGGCTTAAAATGCTTTTTATTTGAAGCTTCTAGCTCAATTTTGAAGGAAGTTAAATTTTTGTAAATTCAAAACAAATCTTACACGTTTTCGAATGATCTAATTATGTTGTATATTCGTATATTTCGTTTTTTGGGTACCCGGTTTTTCGACCGGGTACCAAGTTTGTCTACGTAAATTTTATTTATATTATTAATTGCATTGCATTTACATGTACATATTTATATTTACATTTACATGTACATAAATAAGAATGAAGGAATAAAAAGATAAAAAAAGTTTGAACCCAGCATGGAGGATTTACTACCCGGTACCCGGTTTTTTCTACAAACCCTATCTAGAAAAGTAACCGCATTCCCTATAATTTGATGTAGATTAATCGAACCCCTATATCATGGGCTTTCAATTGAAAGCCCATGCCTACAGTATGGTAGTAGTTGGTCACGACGCCAGAAGCAGAGGAGTGCAAAGTATTGTTCCAAATTTTTGAATTTCGTGTTAGATTATGATACTCACACCTCAAGCATGGTTTTTGTTCTTGATAAATTACAATAAAGTTTAATAATATTTCTATGCGTATTTTGTGAAATTATGTTGACGTTTATTTAAGTTACAATGTAACGGTGCATTATATTTGATTAATCAGTATCGGAAAGTTTGATTCAAGTACTTTTACACGCTTTTACATTAGTCCAAATCACGCAAATCCCTTGAATGTCCCGGGACATCCTGCAAATTTAGGTGGATGTCCCGCGAAATCCCGCAAATTTAGGGCACTTTTTCTAGAAAATCTGTCCCTCTATGAAGTTTTTGCTGGTAAACCTGTTAACTGTCCCGCAATTAGGGTGTTTGTCCCTCGAATGGTCCCGCGAATTTGATAAAAAAAATTGGCCTATAAGCGC